AGTTCCCTGAGTGGCTATCGAATACGGTGATGGTGTCGAAGTCGGAGGGAAAATGGAGGATGTGCATCGATTTTCGTGACCTGAACAAGGCGTGCCCGAAGGATCTATATCTGCTACCCAGAATCGACCAGCTGGTCGACTCCACGGCAGGTTGTGAGTTGCTGAGTCTGATGGATGCATCCCAGGGGTATCATCAAATCCCCTTGGCTAGAGAGGATATGAAGCGGGTGAGTTTCGTGACGAGTCGAGGGACCTATTGTTACGTGGTCATGCCGTTCGGTTTAAAGAATGCGGGTGCCACGTATCAAAGGTTGGTCGATAAAATTTTTAAGGAGCAACTGGGAAGGAATATGGAGGTATACGTGGATGATATGTTGGTGAAGAGTAAGGAGGAACTGGATCATGTGCGAGATTTGAAAGAAACATTCTTAACGTTGCAGAGATACGGGATGAAGCTGAACCCGGCTAAGTGCTCTTTCGGGGTGAGGTCAGGAAAAGTTTTGGGCTATCTGGTGACCAAGAGGGGTATTGAAGTCAATCCGGAGAAGGTTCGAGCTGTGATGGAGATGAAGTCACCAACAAACGTAAAAGAGGTGCAGATTTTAGCCCGTCGAATTGCGGGGCTGAGTCGTTTCATATCGAAGGTGGCGGAGAAGAGTGGTCCATTATTCAAAACCCTGAAAAAGAGCGCGAAGTTCCAATGGACGGAAGAGGCGCAAAAAGCATTTGAGGAGCTACGAGGGGTGTTGGCCAACCTCCCTTTATTGGCCAAACCCGTGCAAGGAGAAGAGCTGGTGCTATACATTTCTATCGGAGAAAGAGCTGTAAGTTCGGTACTGTTGCGAGAGGAAGGAACGACGCAGTTGCCTATCTATTATGTGAGTAGGGTGATGCAGGGGGCCGAGACGAGGTATTCGGAGATCGAGAAATGCGCTTTAGCTGTGGTTGTAACGGCTCGAAAGTTAAGACCTTATTTTTTTAACCATATAGTGAGGGTGCGAACGAACATGCCATTAGGAGAGACACTTGGCCGGCCGTCAGTCTCTGGTCGATTGGTGAAGTGGGCAGTCGAGCTGAGTGAATATTCTTTGATGTACGAGCCAAGGAGATCCATAAAGGCACAGGTGTTGGCTGATTTCATCCAGGAGGGAACGAAAGTCGAGGAGGAGTCAGAAGGACTATGGCAGTTGTTTGTGGATGGATCTGTGGCCCGAAGTGGGGCAGGATTGGGAATCGTCCTTATCTCTCCCAAGGGCGATTACTTAGAATTTGCGGCTAAAGTGGGGTTCAAGATATCCAATAAGGAAGCTGAGTACGAGGCGGTGATTAAGGGCTTGAGCCTAGCCAAAGCAGGAGGAGCTCGAAAATTGCAGGTGCATTCCGATTCTCAACTGGTGGTTGGGCAGTTTCAAGAAGGTTTTGAAGTCAAGGAGGATAGGATGCAGAAATATGTGGATGAGATGAAGAAGCTGAGAGAGGAGTTCGAATTGTTCGAACTAATACAAATTCCTCGAGGAGAGAATGGTCGAGCAGACCTGTTGTCGAAAATTGCCCAAAGTTTGGTCGATTGTAAGAGCAGAAGTGTCACTTTATTGCATCTGGAGAAAAGTGCAGTTGAGACGGAGGTGGCGGAGATCGAAGAGGTAGAGGATTGGAGGGCCCCGATCTTGGAGGAGCTGAGAGAAGGGACTATGAAAGTGGTCAGGAGGTTTTTCGAGCATGGAGGTATCCTTTACAAGCGGTCATATGGAGGACCACATTTACGCTGTGTCACCAAGGAAGAAGGTCGATATGTGCTGAGGGAGATGCATGAAGGTTGCTGCAGCGATCACAGTAAATCGGGAGCCTTGGTTACAAGGATCCTAAGAGCAGGTTATTTATGGCCGACAATGAGAGAAGATGCGAAAGCAATGGTAAAAAAGTGCTTGCAATGCCAGAAACACGGTCCCTTGATCCATCAACCGGCTGAAGCGATGACAACGATGAGTGCCCCTATACCCTTCGCTCAATGGGGCGTCGATCTGGTGGGGCCAATGCCGCAGGGAACGGGACAAAGAAAATTCCTGATAGTGGCGGTCGATTATTTCACGAAATGGGTAGAGGCTGAGCCCTTGGCGAAGATCACAGAAGAGAAAGTAATCAAATTCCTATATAACAACATTTGCTGCCGTTTTGGTGTACCCAAGGTGTTGATTTCCGACAACGGCACCCAATTCAATGGTAAGCGGATTCGAGCGTGGTGTGAAGATATGAGAATCGAGCAGCATTTCACCTCGGTAGCTCATCCGCAAGCCAACGGCCAGGTCGAGGTAACCGATCGGATCATATTGAACGGGCTGAAAACAAAGTTGGAAAAGGCCTCGGGAGCATGGGTCAATGAGTTGAACTCTGTGTTGTGGGCGTATCGTACGACCCCTCGGTCGACCACCGGAGAAAACCCGTTCAGCTTAGTTCACGGAATGGAGGCATTACTGCCAGTCGAGATCGAGATGTCGTCCCAGAGGTCGAGCGCATACAATACAGAACAGAATGAAGACTTGATGATGGCGGCTTTAGACACTATCGATGAACTACGAGGGAAGGCAGCAATCAGGGTGGAGGCGTACAAGCAGAGGATGCGTGCAGCTCACGACAAGAAAGTGAAGATTCGCAGACTGCAGGTCGGCGACCTAGTCTGGAAACGCGTCGATGTACTCAAGCACGTGGGAAAGCTGGAGCCGAACTGGGAAGGACCATACCTGGTCGAGCGAGTGCACGCAGGAGGGGCGTACTCGCTTAAGGATACTGAAGGCCGGTCACTTGCCAGGTCATGGAATATAGCTAATCTGAAAAAATACTATGTTTGAAAGTTTTCTATATATATATAGGTTATTATTTCTGTACGACGTCTGAGAAATGTGAACAAGAATGTAAATTGCGAAATTTATCAAGAGGCAATGAAATTCAGTGATCTTTCTGGTTTTATCTATTTTATCGTACATTTGCTTATGCTAGGAATGTTGCTACAATTGAATGACAGGATGTATGTGGTATGGTTTGATCTAGAG